TTTTTTTTTTTTTTTTTGTGCCTGGTGCTGTGGTACACACTGGGAGCTCCAGCTGCAGGTTCCACCGCTGTCCTCGAGGGGGGCAGACAGATTCACAAGCAATTACAGAACTTTGCAGAAACAGGGTGATGACAAAAAAGATCCTATGTTAGACACAAAGGAAGAGATGATGCCCCGAACAGTACAAAATATAAAACCAAAAGTGAAATGCTAATTACGGAAAATAGATATGTTCACCTATTCTTGCAATTTCTGAAGCAGCAGAGGAACCAGGAAATATGCAGATTTTAAAAGCCTGTCTATCTTCTTACTGCATCTGGACATAGGCAGCAGTGGGCAGAAGTGGGGATGAAAAAATATCCAGCCCCCCGCCTTAGTAAGAAACTTACAGAGGATGTGTGAAAACAAAACCTTTATTTCTTCCTTGGCAATTGGCCGGCACTCCTCTCTCTCTCTCTTTCTCTCTCTGTCTCTCTCTCACACACACACACACACACACACATACATACACACACACACAGAGTTCGGCATAAAATCTGAAAATGATACACCCCATTCTTTTTCTGAACACGAGACAAAAATATATCTTTGTTTGGAAGTGTGTCTTCAACATCCCAAAAGAAAAGGTGGCCAGGAGAAGTCAGATTTTGACTTATGATTGGAACATGGCTTGATGCTGGAAAACTGTTATCATAGTATTTCTGCCCTGTTATATATGAAAATAAGGGACCATCATATATAAATGAAGAGGAAGAAACCCTTAATGAGATAGCTCCCAAACTTACGCTTCTTTTCATTTTCACTCCCCCCTTTCTCCTTTTCTGTGTGGCCAGTGGATAATCTCTTGGCTCTTTCATCTTTCCAAAATGGGAACAATAAATGCACTTTGAGGAGTCTGTATTCCCCCAACCATTTTGAAATTATTTGCAACATTAACATGTATAATAATTGTTTCTGGGGAGACAATCTCAGAGGGGAGTATTTTAAGTTTCCCTGAAAAGAGTGATAAATAACTAAAGCTTCATAGCTCTCTCTCTCTCACACACACACACCCCAAAAACCAAAAAACTTACAGTGGAACCAAATTGTCATCACAGACTGATAAATTTGAAATAAGATGCTATCATGTTTTTGCTGAAATGAGAGCATAATAAAACCCAGGAGAGCAAAGTATGCTTTGTTTTGAAATCATACCAAGCATCTGGCGAGACAGTTCCTGGAATGTGCCCTGGATGCTACAACATGTATGTTTTTGGGACATTTGGCCACTGCTCCTTGTGACAACAGTTTATGGAGAACATTTAGCTGGATCTACATCAACTGCTGCCCAAAGGCTGACTTGTCACACCACACAACACTGGAGATTTTTCTGTAGAGAAGAACATGACCTTCTACTGTCACTAAACCACCAAGTCATGTTTGGGTGAACATTGTCCCCCATGAGAGTCATTTTCACAAGGTAGGGACTGCGTTTGTCTTGCTCACCATTATATCCCAGGTCTGGCACTCAAACCCACCAAAGAATCAGCTATTAAAAATATCGATTTATTTAATGAATGAAAATTTTTTAAAAGATTTACGAATTTTGTTTTTATTTATTTGAGAGAGAGAGAATGAGAGAGAGCACATGAGAGGGGGGAGGGTCAGAGGGAGAAGCAGACTCCCTGCCGAGCAGGGAGCCGGATGCGGGACTCGATCCAGGGACTCCAGGATCATGACCTGAGCCGAAGGCAGTCGCTTAACCAACTGAGCCACCCAGGCGCCCAGTATAGTTTTCTTTAAACTGATTTGTGAGAGTTAAAAATTTTAACCTTATGTGATAATGTAATTTCACAATAGAAAAAAGATGAAGGTATATACCTGTGGAATTAGGTAGCCAAAATCTGTTCCCTACAAAGCTTATCAAAATGATTAGATTTATCAGCATAATTATAATGCATCTCAGAATCATAGCATGTCTCAAACCATTTTCATGGGGAATGTCCCCTCTGTTACAAATCTCTAGTGCAATCTGATTTTACCCACAATTTCTAAAAGTTGCAAATAAAATATTTGTTTCTGATTCTTTTTTGTTGTTGTTTCTGATTCTGACAGTCATTACAACTGATTCTGTGTTGCAGGTGGATTATTCCATAATAGCGTCCCAAGCCGGGGCCACCCTCAACAATCTCATGAGTCATGCACAGGAGTTAGTGGTAAAGCTTCGCTCTCTACAGTTTGATCAACGAGAGTTTGTGTGTCTGAAATTCTTGGTGCTCTTTAGTTTAGGTAAGGAATCCTTTTCTCATACTCTGTACAACCAGATGTTATTAGATGATGCCGAACTCTGAGTGTCGCGAAGTCAGTGCATGCTTTTGTTCTACCGAGATAATGCCCTCCTTTTCAAATCCCTAAGTCGTCAAACGTGAATACATTCTTATGTATATATTTCTGCATGACTCAGCGCCTGTGAGTAGATGGGTTGGGGCATGGAAAAGGAGTTATTAGATGGGAGTCCTAAAGTTTCTCCCGTAATGGACATGATGAGTAGGCAGCAGCCATAGAAGGCCGAATGGAGATGGCTTAGGAAAGACGTATGGTATCAAATTGTAGCCATCCTTCTGCTGTTGATCATTTCTGTGTGCCTTTTGTTAGAGCTTGCAAGCTACTGCTGTTTTTATTGTAAAATATGGGTAGTAATTAAAAACCTGTTTCTTAAATCTCAATCAGGATTAACCAGAGAATGTTTATAACTAGATGCATCACTATTCAAGTATATAAGATGATGGTTGTCAAGGGGAAAGGATGCTTCTTTAGGAAAGCTTTGGAGAAGAAAGATAACTAAGCAAGACAGATTGGCTAAATCAAGGTTCTCAGTGAGTCAGTTGAGAAAAATCACCACTGCTTGGAATAAAAAAAGGATTAAGGAGATGGATTTTTATTGACTTCAAAGGAACAGATTTTTCTGCCTGTCCCATACTTGATTTCTGTATTTTCTTGGCTTAATAAAGCCAACTTAAATAAACTTTTTGCCAAGTCCATTTATTACTTATTGGCAGACAGCTGAGGGAGGCAACTTCCCCTGAATGAAAAAAAAATGCAGAAATCAGATTTACCAACATATGTTTTTTCTTTAGTCTTCAGTTATAAGATAGTTGTGAACTCATAGCCTAAGAAATAAAACAATAAAACAAACTACAAAGTAAAATAGATGTGTCTACTCTCCAGATTTGGTACTTTCGCTTTAAAATTCCTCTTGACAGCGTTGCACAACTGTTGCTAATAAAGGGATAGTTTGAAATAATAGAACCAGAGTTAATTTTTCACATGTAGTCAACATTTAAAATAAGAAGAACGTTTTCATATTTTGGAAAATGTGATAAATATAGCAAAGAGAAATGTTACTGAAAATTTGAAAAGACAACAGAATTTCATAGATGTAGTGTTCAAAGGTTTACAGTGCCAGGACTGGATCCTGTGTGGTTTCTGTATTAACCACTATAAATAGGAAAGTTCTATTCAAGTGAGTCAACATCTTTTACCCATGAACAGTTTTTAGAAAATCAAGAGGAAGATAGCACAGGCGTGCTTGCTCTAATCTCACAAATCATTCTGGTGTATGGCAAGATCTTAGTCTTTTCAACTAGCACATTTGATCAGTAATTAAATGGAAAAAGTGGTAATATATGTGTAAGGAATCTTACAGCATCTTAGTGATAAAATATTTAAAGAGAGTCATCTCACTTCAATGGTATTTTAAATTAGTTGAATAACTGCATTACATTTGAAGATGTAGACATTAACCATGGGCCATGTTTTGTTTTCCTCACGTTTATCTTCCTTCATCATTTTTCAAAATTATTAGGTTCTCTGCCAATACTAAGGAAGTAGGGGCTGGAGTGGTGGTTCTGAAGTGCTTTCAATCTTTGAACCTCACAAATTATCATCCTGAACCATTGGGCCATGTATTTCCCAGAACCTCAACCACACACTCTCTTATCTGAATGTGTTGACTGTGTCAGGAGTCTGGGGACCACTGAATAACTAACTTAGTGTCCCTTAAAATTCTGCCTGTTTGTTGTTTAAGCAAAAAAAAGAAAGCATGGATTTCATATCAGAGGTAAATAGAGTTTTGGCCAAAGTTTATTTTTTTTTTCTCAAGAGTTTGTTTTTAAAGAAGCAAGAAGATGGTAACTGGCAATAACGTTCAGGTAGTTTCCAATTTGCAAATGGAAACTATTTCCCCCCAGAAAAACAATAATAAATAATCTTTTTTGGGCAGCTTTATTGAGGTGTGTGGATAATTAAACTTTGGGTACCCACGCCAGTCCCCAATCACCTGTTTTGCCTGTAATGGGAATGAAATCATAGCACCGCCACCCTTGAAAGCTGAGCCCAAGTCCAGATTTGATACCTGCTGTCTCAAACCCTCATGAGCTTTGCACACACACCCCCTACACCCCGCCCCAAATCTGAAAACCGATACATTCTGATCCCAGCTCAGCCTTCAGACTCTCTGATCCTGGAGTAAAACGAGGACTTTGTGGACTGATCATAGGTCAGGGGCTGCGTTGAGAGAGGACTGCAGCAGTATTCTCTTGGTGGGCGATGAAACCGTGTTTACCACATGGAGCTGGTGAGAAAAAGTAGGATGTGAGCCCTAGCAGGTACAACATTCTAAGCCAGAAGAATGTCTGGTGCAAAAGCATGAAGGCAAGAAAGAGCAAGACGAGTTCGAGAGCTAGTTGGAGATCAAGATGGCTTGAGAGAAGCCTCAGTTATGACCGGAGGGGTGGGCAAGAGCCTGGTCATGGAGGTCCTTAAGGCATTCAACAGATGCTTCTGAGCACTTTTCTGTGACAGGTGCTGAGGTAGACACTGGGGATACAGTGGTAAACAAAAGTAGGTGCCATGATCTTCATTCTGTAGGCAATTAGGAAGTATAGCTGGATTCTTTTTAAAAAGGGGTGAAGTATGGTTAATGTAAGTTGATTTGCTTTTCTGGTAGTAATGTGGAAAGTGGGCTGGAGACAAACAAGGCCGGAAACTTTGTGTTCAGAGGTGGTTTTAATACTCCACGGAGATAGGAATGCGCTGACAGGAACAAGGTATAGGATGCAACCATGTGACAGAGTTACGAAGATGAAGGCCCGCATGAGTCTCAGGTTTCTGGGTGCTTGAACCAGAATAGAAAACTCTAGAGGAGCAGTAGCTGATTAGCTGAGCCAAATCAGATTCCAGTAGAAACCATCCTCCTCTTAAAAGTCATTCTTCACTAAAGCTGATTCCTGATTCCATGAAAAGCTAATGACAGGGCTAACTTAAATGTATGGCTGACTAAAAATTTTCCATTCCACTAATTTCTTTTTTTTCTTCCTCAAATTGTATCCAGGACAGACATCAATTAGTTAAGCTGGTTGAAAAAAGAAGTAAAAGTAAAAAATGCTCCTTCTCTCAGAATATTTCTGTATATAATATAGTAGGCTCTGGGGGCCCAGTCTGCTAGTAATGTTTTCTTAAAATCCTGTTAAATTTATATATATATATATAAAATAATTTTTAAAAATTTTCCTTAACTATGAGATAACATAATTTGAGCCTATTGATAACTTGGCAGAAGAGGAGATACTCTACATTGGCTATTTAAACCAGATGACCCAAGAGAAGATAAAATAAAATTTTTGATGTTTATCTCTTGGTTTGTACTCCCACCTTCTAAAAAGGAATCAAAGTGACTGATGAAAGGAAATTTGCTGTCACCAAATGCAGAAATAAATCTCATAGAAGTATGTGGAATCATGACCCTCAAATAATGTCATCATTACATGTGTTCCAAAGATGAGCAGAATTCCCACAAACTTGATCTGAAGACAAATGCAGAACTGGGAAGCAGTCACCTGGTTTCTGACCTCAGCATCCTGAATAGTGTCCTTACATGTTCATGCCTGTCAGGAATATCACTGTGACTTCAATGCTCAAAGCAACGAGTAATCAGAATGTGTCAACTAAGAGGTTACTCTGGCCTTTGGATTTTCTTAGCCTCAAGACTCAATGGCTGGATGCTGCCGGACTCCTGTTATATCCCAGGTGGCAAGAGAAAGTACTAGAGGCATATTGCATCTTATTTCCCCTAATGAATGCCCTTGATTTGTTGTAAATTATTCTCTTCTTTGCCCAGCCAGTGTTTCTCAAAGCGCTGTTTTGTATTCCGCTGAGTTAAAGAGATTGTTATTCTCTTTGAGGGGATTTTCCCAGCTTAAAAAGTAACTAATATGTGCCCCAAGTGTAGGCTCTCTAAGTGCCACTGGTTAGAGTGGAAGATTCTGCTCTGCCTTTCTTCAGACAATGCTCTAGACTGGGTCTCAGGTGGGGTTAGAAATTGTCCTTCACTTTTCTCTGTATCCCAGGTCTCTGGCACATTGCCTGGTACACAGTAGAAGCTTAACAAAATATTACTGGTGAAAAAGATGCATACATGGATTTACTTAATTTTAAATTCAAAACAAAGCCTTCACCAAAGTGGTTTGTGACATGTAGTAGGAGGTCGTCATATCTCAAGTTCAGGTTGGTTTTCTGAGACTAGTTTCTTCAGAGAACTCTCTGATACCTCCTCAAAATTAAATTATTTCTATTACCAGTTTGCATTCTCCCAATGTATAAGTGGAGATGTTCATTTATTAGCTCTTTGGGAAAGCTGACTTGCAGAAAGACTAGAGAGAATATTCATGGCTAACACTAGGTGATAAATGCATGTCTGTTCCAAGCAAATACAAGATCATAGGCTTTCGGCCCATGTCAGTTAACAGTAGTTGAGGAATGTTGTACAACTCCTTCTTGATATTGATGGAATCCTGTCTACGCTGAAATGGCTAGACAAAATCATATCTTTGTTCATCGTGGTAGCTCTTTGCTTCACACACAAAATTTCCAAATTTTGAATGAAGTATTGATTACACCATCACACATCCCAGGCAAGATTCATCCTCATGGAGGCAGACCCAGGGAAGATGGGTTGTGGTTGCCTTGGGGAATGGCTCACCTGGGAGAGCTACCGCCCATTAGATGCCCTCACCCAAACTGCCACCTGAGCCTTCTCGATAGAGAAGCACTGAACGTGCAGTGGGCATAGATCAAGAACAAAGCTGGCTGCACAGTTGTTCGATTCATCTCCAGGTTTGGTTCAGGCATTCTTTAGTGTCAGACCACAACTCCTTTACTTTCAAAGAGTGACACACGTTATCTCTAATGTAAATTACCATCCAAGCAATTGGTGAAATGTCCCAGGATAA